AAATCCTCATGTAGCAAAACACAACATAGTATTCTCTCTCTTCCAAACTAATTGTAAAGATAAAGACAAGAAAGACCTTTAATTACTCCACCCAAAAAAAAAATCCTTCTTCACAAGGATAATAGTAATGGTAGGTGCAATAGTGATAAAAGTTAGGAAACTATTATTCTAAAGTGGATAAGTCTTCTCAACAACATCTTTAGTTTAAGTGAATTTCCATCCCCCAACTTGGCTCAAGAATGTGTAATTTGTTCATGGGTTGTGTGGATACTTCTAGGATGAAAGTGCTTTGGAATGGGGAATCTTCCAAGAATTCAATCCTTTTAAGGGAATCCAACAAGGTGATCCCATATCCCCTTACCACTTTACTCTCTATTTGGAATGCCTTAGTCACATCATTCAAGATGTTATTGAGTAAGGAGATTAGAAGCCGATTCAATTGAATATTAGAGGACTTAATATCTCTCACTTGTTATTTGTGAATGACCTTGTGCTCTTTAAGAAAGCCTTTATGAACCAGGTTGGTGTCATGATGGATTGAACTGATAAATTTTGTTCTGCTTCAGGGCAAAATGAATAAAACAAAAACTAAAGTGTGTTTCTCAAGGAATTTGCACATCTCCAAAGCTTGTGATATGAGTCGATCTATGGGAGTAGGACTAACAAGAGATCTTGGGAAGTATTTGGGCATTCTACTTATACACAAAAAGGCTTCCTATAGCTTGTTTGCTCCGATTTTGGAGAAATGTAGAGGTAAAATGTCCGACTAAAAAGGTAAATACCTTACTTTAGCGGGCAGAGTGACATTGATAAAATTTGTTACTTTGGCATTACCTTCTTATTACATGAAAAATATATTTCTCCCTAAAAAGTTGATTGTAACATCCTAATACTTAATCTAAGGATTAGTTATAAGTTTTAACTAAGTAATTAAGGCAATTAGAACTTAATTTGGTAGTTTGGATGGTCAATTGGGCCCATTAGACCCTATATGGACTTTAGAATTGAGCCTTAGGAGTTATTAGGCCATTTTGAGCCCAAACTATTGGGCTTAAATTAGGCTTTTGACACCCTAAAATTTTAAATATTAGAAAAGCATTCAAACAACAAACAAATAGAGTTTGAGTAAGAGTTTCATAAGGGGATGACCAAGGCTTTGCTAGGATTTGTGTTTAGAGGCGCTTGGAGGCCAAAATTTTAAATACTATAAAGGCATTCAAACAACAAACAAATAGAGTTTGAGTGAGAGTTTTAGAGGGGGGATGACCAAAGCCCTACTAGGATTTGTGTTTGGAGGTGCTTGGAGGCTTTTTAGGCTTATAACACCTTGAATAAGCTTCCCTTTCTCAGTTCCTCTCCCTTTTGTCTGTTTTTCTCTAAGTTTTTGGTATAGGTGATTGTTGTTTGTACTGGTAGACATGTTTTATCCACTCCAATGACTTCAATGGAGTACAATAAGTATTATCTAAGCTTCTAATATTGGGTTTATGCTATAAAGGCAATGGTTAGTGTCATTAATGATGGATTTAAAGTTAACCATTATGGTAATTAATTAAGTTTAAGTTAACAAAATTAGATAATTATGTTAATTAAGCTTAGTGAAGGTTAAATAAGTTAATTGAAGTGAGTTTTAAGGTTGTTGTTGCTTAATCACATTTAATAAAGATTTAAAGCCTTAAACGTGATGAGGATTAATTAATAATGATTAGTCATTAATATTGTATGTTAATTATTACTTATAGATTGGTTGCTTTAGAACTTGTTGTACCTATTGGGAAGCTTTCTCGAAATCCAAAGTATACTCTTGGGGTCATAACTCGAGTGTAAAGGTAATTAGAGTTAACTTCTTATAGATCATTGTTTGCAATTATGATTTGTATTTATGGATTGCAATGATTTTGATGATATAAATATGCAAGCATGAAGGTATTGATAATTAAAAATTACATGGCTATAATTAGTTGAGTGTTATGATTGAGTTGTAATATGTGCATAAGTAAATGCTTGGTATTTTGATAAGCATAGGTATGGGTTTATGGTATGGGATTAAATATTAGTTATGCATTCTTGACTTAATAGCATGTACTTGATTATGAGATAAGTTAATTAAGTTTGCATTTATGACATGTTATTAAATAACTTAAGTATGTTGTATGATCATAGGTAGGTGAGAGTTGACCTCAGTGAGCAAGGGTGATATGGAAATTCCATGTGGTGTAGCCATTATTGAGATTTGTGCACAATGAATGGTAGATTTGGTTTAAGTGTGTTTATGTCCTTTATCTCTTGTAAATGGCATATGTGAGGTGCCATCTTGGATCACTAGTTTCCTATTAGAAATGATGTAATATCTTGAAAAATTAACCTTTAATTAGCTAACTTAAATGAGGCTAATTAAGTAAATTAATGTAGTGTATGGTTACAGAGAGCTAATGAATGTTTTTGATCGTGGTTTTAGATTTAACACTGAGTTCAGAGTGGATTTAAGACATCCAGGCCTCAAAAGGGAAAGACAGACAATGGGAAATGGCTCTATGCCATATACCGTGGCACACGAGTCATAAAGACGTGAAGCTTACCCCTTTATATCACATGTCATAGCGCATGGTCAATTTTTTACAATAATAGGAGTATGCTGTAGTTGAAAAATTAGAGAAGAACCAAAGAGTGAATTAAGGGTACGTGAAGAACTCTACTAGGGTTTACAAACTTAAAGGATTGAGGGCATTTTAAAGCTTAGGGACATATAAGTAAGTCTTTTAAACCCCCTACTTCCATCCTCTTTCACTTTTATCTAAATTTTAAGTTAAGGTTTATTTGAGTAAGATGAGTTTTGGTCCATAAAAGTTACGAGTCAGAATCTATTAACTTAAATAGAGTTAATGAGAGTTGTATAAATTATTTAAGCCTAGCATTAATGATTTTACAAGTGTTTGGTTAGTAAAAGCTAGTAGTGGCTGAAAACAAGTCATTAATAAGGTTGTTGGGAGTGCCTAAAGGCTACAAATGATAGTTGGGTGGTACATTAAAGGTATTCCAAACTAAAGCAGGACAAGAAACCTTACAGGTATGTTTATATGTGAGATATTGGGAAATTGGGAACTTTAAAGTGTTGAATTAAGAGTTGAAATCTCATTAGTAGTAATATTAATGATGATTTGGTATGATTAACTATAGATTAATCATTTCTTAGTATCATTCAAGCTTAAGACCTCTCAAAAATTTAAGGTAATTAGAAAAAATTTAATATTTGCATCTGTTTGTTTAATTGATTATATGTGTTTATGAACCTGTTTAGAAAATAATGATAATTGAAATCTTGTTTTTGATACAACTTAAGAAAAATCCTACATGATATATGTAAAAATGCAAATGCAAATGAAACAAATGTTGTGTGATTATTGTGAAGATGTGGTATGCGTCTGAGTGAATGTGTTATTGAGTATGGTTATGTGAATACAAATCTCGATTGTGATCTAATGGTTGTTGAATTATAAGAGATAGCGTGTAGGGGATGTGAGATGCTATGTAAATTAATGAGCATGATGATTGAGATTGCATGCTATGACTATGTGTCTGTAATCCACATGTAAATGACATATTAGAAAATGAGCATGCTATGTAGTAAGCATTGGTTGCATTGCATAATTATTTCTGATAAGAATTCACCTAAGGGAAAGAAGTAAAGATTTGAAATCTACGTGGTAAGACTACCATTTTGATCTCGATGGCTTGCCTCCTTATTTATATTATTTCACTTGTTCTTTAAGGGATTGTTCCACTTGTTTATTAAGGAACTTGAACCTATCTAGTCTCCACTAATTCATAAAAATTTTAGTTTAGGGGTTATAACACACTATGATTATTATTATTATTATTATTATTATTGGAGGAAACCATAACTTACAAATGAGTGTAGTAGCCTTAGGTAAGAAACTCCTCACAAGTAAAAAGCTTAGATGGTCTGATTATATGGACAAATCCTATTAAATAACCAATGATTTTATGTTAGAGGTATCAAGAGGATATAAGGGGGCATTAATCATGCATTTTATAATACGATCACATGATTGTTATAATTGTGGTCTTGCATATTATTATATGGGGCACATGGTTGTTATTATTGCGTTTCCTTATATGAATGGATGATTAATGTCAATTTACAAACATATGTTGTACAAAGCTATATAGTTGCCAATATTGTAGTTGTGGCTAATAATTTAAAAGAAAAATATAAACTTGTGAAAGTTGTTTTAATACTACTTACATCATTATAATTAATTGACATGCATTTATATAGGTTAGATTAATATTGGTTACTGAGTGGTTATACTAACCCCATTATCTTCAATAACTATAGAAATTAACTCAAGCCAAAACAAGGGAAAAGCACCTAAGCCCTAGGATATTTGATTGGTAATAATAGGCCTTTATTTTGAATTATGATGTGTATTTACAATTGATATTGTTAATTAGGAAAATTATATTCTTTTATGAATTACTTGCACTATTATTAATGTTATTTGAAGTTATATTTTGAGCCTTAGGTTGTAATTGTGATTGATCGTGACACTTAAATAAGGTCAAAATACTAGTGCAAGTATGATGTAATTATGAAAGTGATTGTAAAATAGTGTATTCATATTTCCTATGACATGGCCTCCCCTTCTTATTTTTGTAATCAAGAGATTGAGAGTTGAAAACATGATATATGTTATATCATATTGCTATGATGTATTACATGGGTGTCCTTTAGTTTATTAAGTGTGATAAAATGGTAATTGTAAGCTTTTGGCACTTGGGCATGGAATTGGACACTTTAGTCATATTTTAAAGGTTGAAAAGAGTAAGTTTGCAAATAGATGTATAACTTTTTAATGAGAAATGATTCATGAGTGAAACTAGCATTAATAATTAGAGCTCTAAAAGATCTTTTTATAAACACCTAGATCATTTTAATCAAACGTCGGATGGAGATTTTGGTCACTTTAGATGTGTACCTTTATTGCTGTCAAATAATAACAATAATGTTGTCAAACCCGTGCAATGCACCGACGTGCATGATGCTTGTACTATAGCTCATTGCATAGAGAGGATTGCACCACGGCATGTAGAATGAATGTCGCAACGCACCTCTGCTTCATTGCATTGAAATATTATTTTTCAACTTAAATGCAAATACTTTGATATAAATTAGTTTCCCATGCTTCTGTATATATACTTTACTCTGATTTTTTATTTACAAAAGTATATATAGTGTTTTGAAAGCTTGGAAACTTGAAATCTTATTTGTGTGATTTGACAAACTTAGTAATCTTCTTGAGTTAATCCTGTGCTTATCTTGAGTTTGGAAGTTAAGTGTGGATTAGTAAAAGCAACCTTACAGACGGTAGGGGACAAGCAACTATGACACCCTAGTAATTCAAAAAGCAAGAATCCATAGTTCAAGAGTAGGAAGCGAGTGCCTTAGCTGGATAACCCCTCACAAGTGGAGAGTGGGTCTAATTTGATCACATGAGTTAGTCCTATATGATTTAATAGTCCATGAATTTAGTCAAAAGATGTTAAGATATAAGGAGAGAAACAAGGATGTAATGCATATAATCATGCACAACTATCATCACTAAATTATATGTCCTGTGATTAATGATTAATAGTATTATAATATATGTTGAATATCAATGATAGGTTAAATTTAAATCTTTGGCATATGTGCTGGTATTTGCCATACTTTTATGTACTTGAATTTACATGCTTTGATTACTGAGATTATATAATTTCACTACCATTTGTTAACACTTCTCAAGTTGATGCTAGAAATATGGCGAAGGGGAAGCAATGAAGACTAAAGACGCATAGCTTCTTTGGTAAAGTTTCTAATTTATTTAGTTTGTGTATTTGAATACGTATTGTTATCAACATTAGGGATTGTATTATTAGTCTATATTTATCATTTGCATGTAGCATTGTTTATAGACTTTCACATTTTTAGTTGGTGTCCTCTTATGTTTTTGAGTTGAAGCCAAATATACAAGCGTGTGTTTAAGTTATGATTGTCAAATGAAATAGCATGCTAAGGAGTTAAGCATGCAAAGTTTGATTGTGATTTAAGTTGAATATAGTTGTGATAGCTAGTGGCTAGCTATGAAGGGGAGATGCTTGGTTGATGAGTTGTAAATGCAACAAGTATGTTATAGTTCTAAGTATTTCAAGATCCTCATTTGGTACCAGGTTAGAGTTGGGAAAACAAGTTTGCTCGACTCTAAAGGTTCGGCCCTTGATAGGCTCGAACCTAAAAAGGCTAACTCATTTAAGCCCAGTTACCCTTTGAAACCCTTATATGCTAAGCCTGGCTCTCATTATACGGGCTCAGGGATTCGCAAGCTTTGAGCCCTTTTACTTATTTGTTTTTTTTTACATTTTTTTATCAAACTAAAAATACTCAAATGAGCTTATATAGGCTTAAACAGGCTTAGAAAATTTAGTTTAATATTTTTTTTATATAAAAAAGTTTTAAAAAAATATATGCAAGTTTAAATGAGCAGCCTATTTGAGCTAATTCGTTCAAGCTAGCTTAAAACGAAGCCCTTGAGGGCTAGCCTGTTTAAGCCCATTTAATGATTTTAGGGTCTTTTATGTAAGCCTAGCTCTCCTGTTAAACAGGCTTAAATAGGTCAACCCATCAAGCTCAACCTATTTTCCCGACTCTATACCAAATTGAGATGAAACTAAAACTATTAGTTAGAGTATTTTATTGTCTATGTGTAGACACTTAAATTACCTTAATCAAAAGTTCGAGCTGAAAGTTAAGCACTTCAAAAGTTAGATTTTAATTGTTGTCATTCTACACAAGGAGTGTGTCAACTGTGGCAAATAAGAGGCTTAGCTATGGCAAAAAAAAAAAAGGTCTCTGTATAGTTGGTCACGATAGACAGTGCCTTTGGCAGCAGCAAGTAGTCCTTGTACCATAAGCCATGGTGGATTGCAAGCTTGGCCATGGCATGTTGCTCAGTTTCAACGAAGTAAATCTTTTACTCTTGTTTGATTGGTTTTCAATGCTGAAACTAGTTCTTTTTTCATGATTTAGTAACCTCCCTTGCTCTAATTTAAAATATTTGGGATCCTATTTGCATAAAAGTATTTTTAGAAACATCTTTAAAAGTGCAAATCACTAAGCTTGATCATCTTTAACAACATCATGCACCATATCTTCAAACAACTTCCAAGCTTCTTTTTCATTTGGGATGTCTATCAAGAAATCCTTCTGAGTCTCCATTTTTTTTAATATATCAAGGTTCCTAGAAGTGAATAATAATTTTCAACTCTTGTGATCCTTCAAAAAAATTCCTAACTTATCTAAATCAAGTATTGCCCAAATATCATTCCATATGACTAAAATACTTTTCTCATTTTTAATCATTTGGCAAATGCGACTTGCTTTTCCAACTGTGTTCATCTCTTCAATAAGAAGACCTAAAATATCCAGCAATCTCACCTTGAAATTTCTCAAGATCTTGACTTTGAGATATATTAGGGATAACAACTTCACCAAACAACTTGTCATCCCTAACTTGTTTAGCAGTATCTTCAACTAGGGTGGTTTTTCCCACTCCACCCAATCCATGGACCTCATACAATTTTTTTATTTTATAATAATTTTTAAATGTTTAAACAAACCAAATGAATTTTAATAATTTAAAATTCAAATCAAAATCAACCCATTCAAACGCTAGCTAAAAATTAACTTACCCAATGTGAGTGAGAGGTGATGTGTGGTTGCGGATGTTTAGCTGGAGATTTGATAAGCAAGTAAAGTTCTGTTGTTTAAAACCAAAGAGAGAAAATAATTAGTAAACATAACAAACATATTCATATTCATATCATTTTTCTCCAAACGCACAAATTAATAAATTTCAACTTTCAGAAGCCTTTACCTCCTTTACCTCTTTCACTTCACGATCAACAACACCACTTGTCTTAACGAATACAGTACCAAAACTTTAAGAGCACAATTTTTTTTTTTGTATATTTTTATTTATGAAACATCACAAGAAAACCACGAATTTCATATACGCAAAAGAATAACAGAAAGGAAAGAAATCTCGGAACCAACTTTTTTTTTTTTTTTTTTCCAGTTCTGAGGTGAAATACAGACAGTCAGTACAAAAAATCTTTCTGTTTTGGAAGATTGACAAGAATTTAACAACTCAAATTCAAGCAAAAGAAGAGTGACAACAAAAGAGACTCGTAAATGAAAACACCAACTTTTTTTTCTTTTTTGAAATTGTTTAAATATATAAACTGGACACGCAGCAGAAAACAAAAGCCTCGAAAAGATATTTTTTTGGTTTTATTGCTAAAGATTTTCACATGCATGCGATTGACAAAAAGCACGAAACTGGATGGAGAAGAGTAGCGATTTTTTCTTTTTTGGGGAAATATCAAAACAAGCTTGATGAAAAGATTGGGAACTACAAACAGTAATAAACTGAAAATGAAAGAAAGCAGGTTAAACTGAACACTTAGCAGAGGAATGAAGAGAGGCAGTCGTAGAAACAAAAGGCCGACGATTCTTTCTTTGAATGATTTGTATGTGAAAGCAGAAAGACACAGCACAAGAAATTGGCGGATCGGAACAAAGTACACCAAAAGCAGAGGAAGAGGAGGCAATACATATGAGATGCAATCAATCATTATCCTAATTTATGTAGAAGGCTGCCACAAGACTTGCTTTTTCAAGTCAACAGCTAAACTCTCACTCCTCTATTATCGCAAAAAAGCGACAAAAACCAAGCTGGAAAAAATCAACATCGCACTTAAGAAGATTTGTAAGATTAGATAAAAAATATTAAAGTAAAAGATCTTTTCTTTTAGAAAATTTTAGATTAGGAAAAAAATAATTTTTTCATCTATTTTTAAATTTATATTAGTCATACGTAATTGGCTTAATAACATATTAGCACTATCTGTTTGGGGTTAATTATTTTCATTATCTTTAATATTGAATTACACACTATGAAATATTTTCAAAATAAAAAAAATGTGTCTCGTATAATCATAGGGTTATGAATCAAACTAGTGTCTTACCTTGTGATGCACCGGCAAAGTATCATTTAATTATATCAGTTTATGTATATTTTTAAAGTTGCTTTCTTGTAAGATAAATTATGTAATATAGCATTGTTGTCACATGAAATCAACAATGTTAATGTGTTATTTAGTTTTTTTCCCCTAAGTGTGATCTTTAGTTGAATTGTATTAATTTGCTACTAATTGAACAAATGATAAATGTGAAAGACATAATCGCAATTAATTTTGATGGAAAAGTATAACCCATAAGCAAAAGTTTAAGCAAATAATCAATGTAAAGTATTACACAAAAAAGAACTATAGTGCATTTTTTAATGTACTCAAATATCTTCTAGAATACAACATTAGTCATTCTTGAAGATGTTGTATTATGTTTGTCATGCATCAGTATCTTTAGACCTTTTGTATGTAAATTTATTTGCATCTAATCAAACTAATTACATGTAAGGAGAAACTTATAATGATTAATATCATATTTCATTGATAAAATTTCAATTGAGTTAGGACCTGTTTGGTTTCTTTTCTTATTTTTTGTTTTTAAAAACTGTTTTATAAAACAATTTTTAAAATTATTTTTAAAATAAAAATAAAATAAAAATTTGTTTGGTTATGTAATTTAAAAACAGTTTTAGAATTAAAAAATGGACTGATGGTGATGATTATAGAAAGTAAATGATGGTGATTAATAATATAAATTAATCAAGATAACCATAATTTTCAATAATCAAATGTAGTATATTTTAAAATAATAAAAATAAAATGAAAACAACTTAAAATTATTTCTATTTTTTTATTTTTAAAAATGAAAAAATGAAAAAAATTGAAACAACTTAATGAAAAATACTTATCTAAACAAATTTTTAAATTTTTTGTTTTTAAAAAGAAAAAATAGTTTTTAAAATTAGAAAACAAGCAGGCCCTTAAAATCCAATTTGAAGTATTTTAAAAGATTGTGTTTTTCTAAATGTAATTGGGCATAACCGTAATATCAAAAGATTGTTAGGATTCCATGATTTAATAAATTTATTTAATCTTTTTTAATTTTTTGTTTCATTATCATCTACTGAATACGTATCTCTTTCCATAATTTCTTGATTGTGTCTTTTAATTTATAATAATAGTTTCTAATATTAACGTTCGGTCATCAAATGCTACATACATGCATACATGTATTACCATTATAACAAATTAATTTGAATCCAAGAAAAAGTAACCAGCATATTCCAAGATAATAACATTGGATTTCTTGCATTAAAAAAAGTAGTTAAATAAAGGCAGTTGCTTGCGGAAGCTTTTGTGGTTTGAGTCCATTGTAATGATAGTTTGGGAGCTGAGTTATGGGCGTGTAACATGGCTTTGAAGAAGGCCTGAGATAAAAACTAAATGAAAGTTATAACTTCCAAAAAATCAGCGATACCTTTTACCAGACAGAAATTTTTTATCAGCAATTAATATATTTATTATTATTATATATAAGTAATTTATACATCTATCTTATATATATATATATATATATATTTATATAATCTTGAGAGAATTATTTTAAGATCCAACTTAACACAATTAATTACTCCCACATCAATGGACAGCTGATGCCATTCTTCTAGGCTCAGCTGTCAATGGATTTGAGAATAATTAATTATGTTGAGTGGATTTTATATGTAATTCTTACTATCATCTTTACATCAACATCTATCAATTCATTAAATTCTTTTCATTGTTCAAGGTGTAGTGTATCTTTTATCAATGTTGTGTTATCTATCCCTCATGTAATTGAGGCATTCATCATTTTGAATATGCATTGCACCAATAAGTCATTTTTAATTAATTCACATGGTTGTATAAATTGGCAATAATTTAATTAATAACTTTGTTAAACATTATTTGTTATGGATTTATATTATGTGTCATACATAATTTTTAATAATCAGAAATATGCTCATGCTATTATTTTGTATGATATACTTTTATATTAGATATAAGCAATCATTGTTAATATAGTTATATAAAATAATAACAACTTGCACTTAGTATTATATATGTATGTATGTTTGTCGTCATTAAAAATACTTTAGCTCAAATGATAAAGAACAATTGATGATGGGTTTGAATCCTTGCTACTGTCTACTAACAATCTGTTTCACTTGAAAGAAAAATATTGTTTCAGAAAAAAATATAATCTACGTGATTTTTTATTTATTTAAATAAAATAAAAAATATAATTTGGAATTAATTTGTATTATTAAGAATTGAACATATAATTTAAAATCAAAATATTTTAACTATAAACTAATTATCAAAGACTTAAAATATTTTATCTACGAGAATTAGATATCACAATTAATAATAGCAAACTCATTTTGGAATGAATTATGCAACCTCGCAGCTCTTGGTTTTCCAATAAAAGTCTGGCTCTCGAGAAAAAGTAATCAATGCATCTTCAAGAAAAAAAGTTTGTGAGTAGCTTTACTTATCTTCTATACTTCTTCAAAAGTCTTTAGCAATTTTCTGGAGTTTTCAAATTTTTTTTTTTGGAGAAGTCTTCCATGTATCTTCATTTTTTTTTGGCAAGTTATCTTTTACCTTTTTTCAATGGGCTTCAGTAATCTTCAAGAGTTTTTTATCTTATGCAAAAGTCTTAGTTAATCTTCAAACGTCTTCCATGTGTCTTTGAAAAACGTGAGTCTTTAAAAACCGAATTTTACAAGTAGTTTCAATTATCTTTTACCTTTAATTTCTTCAAAAGTTTTCAGTAATCCTTAAGAGTTTTCAATTTTCTTCAAGAGTATTCGTTTACTTCTTAAAAATCTTCCATGTATCTTCAAGAATTATTTTTTTTTTTGCAAGTTATAGCTTCAATTATCTTTCACATTTCTTAAAAAGTACTCAACAATCTTAAATAGTTTTAAAATTTTTTTCAAGAGCTTTCATTAATCTTAAAAAGTCTTTGATATATATGTGAAAGAAATTCATTTTCAAGATTACTAAAGACTTAAGAAGAAAGATGTAAGATAATTGTAGCTACTTGAAATTTTTGAAGATACATTAAAATTTTTAGAAAAGTGTAAAACATTGTTGACGTAACACATAAAACCTTTAAACATATACTGTTGAAATGAAAAAGTAAGAATGATGTAGAATATCAAAAAACGATTGAGTAATATGGGTGTGGATGCTACAATATATTGAAAAGTAAAGTTAATGTGTCATAATATGGTGGGTTTATTAATGTGAGACTTATTCTACTTTTTCATGTCAAATCAATATTAGATTAGAAGGAAATTTTGGTAATTTCTCATCTAAAATTAATTTTTTTAAGGATCTTTTGCTTTTCAATTTTTGTGGTCCTCCTTCCCAAATATATATGCTACTTGGTCCTTCTTCTTTTTTTTAACCAATTTTACCTTCTTTTATCAACTAGACATAAAGAGTAGGGAAATGACGTGAAAGGAACAAAAGTTTGAATGAAATTTGAATGAGAATTAAAAGATTTAGAAATTTAAAATGAGGATTAAAGATTTTTTTAATTATATTGGTCTAAAAGTTTGTTGCGCTCATTTTATCATTTGCAAACATCAAAACAAAAATTTGCAAGCGAAACTTAATAATTTGTTAAAGAAAAACTTGTCAAATATACCACCGCTCTCAGTGATTTATTATTCTCAAGACTCTTATTTGCAACTCTTTAAATACAAATTCCCAAGTAAGATTCATTAATTTATGAAGAAAAATGATTTCAAAGTAATGGTATATTTGACAAACTTCTTATTTACAGCTTAATGAATCTCACTAGCATATTCTTGTGTCAAAGGTTGTAAAGAATAATAAACTTTTAAAGCAATTCACATGGGAACATTAGGTCCTTATTTTGAATTTCCAACTATTTTAATATTTATTTAAGTTTGATTTAATCTTTTAGTCACTTAATGTCACTCCCCCTGAAGAGTAATACTACCCTTGACAAAGCATTTTTTGGTATCATCTTCTTTCAAAAGTGTATTTAAGCATTATAAGAACACAACCAGTGACTTTTAATGTTGTAGTAGTTCTTTACGTGACCCCTTCACATGAATAATCTATTACCTTTATTAATGTGGGATGACCAGCTCTACAGTACATGAACAGTTCCCTAGCGAATGACAAATCTCAATCAAATTCGAATATTGTATTATTATTATTATTTGGTGGTCCTTGTTTTTTATCCCAATCGTAACAAATATCAATAATGCATATCAGTTTGGGATCCTCTGTGAACAGTAGATGAAAAGTGGCACTTGAGCTTTTTTTTTTTTTTTATCATTTGGATTGTACTTGAACTGTAGTTTTCCCGCGTTCACTGCCTATTTGGGGTGAGTTGGCAGGGTTTCAAATTTATTCTTTTTTCTTTTTTTTTCCCTAAAATTTCTCTTGCCGGATGTTGGCAGTTTGCGTTATTGTGGGGGAAATTTGAATGTGGGTCCTTCATCGATTACTGCTTTTGGGGCACAAGTGAGTTGGGGTTATTGTGGATGGAATATCATGATTTGTTGGTGGCAAGCTTCTTGGTGTCCCTAAGGTGGATTTTTGGTGAATCATGGTGTTGGGTTTGGGTGATTATCACGGTTGTCCTCACTCCTTGGTATGTTTCCCTTTGATTTTCATTGTCTTCCATTGTCTGTGTTCTTGGTTTTTTGTCTTTTGTTTTTTGATTCCCAGTCTAGGGTGTTTTCCTCACGTGTTCTCTCTTTCAGGCTTTGGCTTTCGGGGAGTTGTCGTGGTGCCAATTCTCTTTGTCAGCGTCTTTTTACATCATGTGCGGGTGTCGTTTGAGCTGTGGTCGGGTGCATCATTTTATGCATTTTCCTTTCCCCTATTTTTCTCCCACACCAGGTTGCTCGTGTGCCGCTTGTCTCCTTTTCCTCTGCATTGTCAAACAAACCTCCTCAAGATCACAAGAACGACAATGCACGACAACCAAAAGCCCATGCTGCCACATCTCTTGCACCAGAAGCCGTTATGACCGAGCAACCCACTACATTCTCTATGGCCAAACAACCTCCTAGGACAAACCACCTAAGCAAGGCTCAATGACAAAACAAAGAAAATCACCTAACCCATTCACATTAATGTCACTGCCGAGCCCCTTGGACATCACTCCACCATGTTGCCTATCCACCGTAAATGCACATCTCCTATTCTTCTCCCACGATCACATTGCCCATGTGTTGTAGACGCATGTCTTCTCTCCCCTGTCCGTCCATTCCGATGAGTTTGTCTTGGTTTCCTCACCTTCGGGTATGTAGCTCGCCGTGCTGTGTTCCCCTTATTATTGATTTGATGTGCTTTTAGTGTCCATTTGCATTTGTTGCTTATTCCTATGGTTTTTTCTTCTGCATATTAAGTTCAAGTGCAGTCAACTATTATGACCATTGCTTTGTTTCTTCCCATTTCGGCATGTATTGTTTCTATCCATTTTTGGTTTTCCATTTCTTACATTGTCGTGTCATTATTGACGAGTTATTATTCATTGGTTGATTAGCAGAGATGGTTGTGATGGTTCTGTTTACTTGACTTGGGTGCAGGCAGTTGTTTTTGCGGGGCTGCTCATGAGTTACCCTCTCAAGAGGATTAAGGGCCCATGACAAATGATTTTTGTTGAAGAGGTATGTTGATTTCTTCAACAGCTTGAATGCTGCTTAGTTCGATGAAACCTATGAGCTATTGTGAGGTTGGTTATTAGAGCACTTTGTCCATTTGGATTGAAATAGGTATGTTTGTTTCGTTATATCAGTTCAATTCTTGGTTGTTTTGTGGAACCTGATTTTGTCGGTGTTGTGGTTGATGTGGGTTTTATTGGTGCCAAATCTAGCGAATCATCTTTGGTCAATATTTCCAATGCAGCTCCCTGGCCTCTCTTCTAGGACATTACTAAGATTACGAGTCCACTTAAGAGGTTTGTCTTCGTTGATGAATTTGGTTTATTCAAAGTCCGTTCTCTTTCTCTCATCATTCTTATGCTCATTTATTTCAAAATCTTACTGGTTATCTGATATATTTCCTTTCTATGGGTTCATTTTGTATTTTATGATTCTTCTTAATGACTCGCTCATCTATTTAGATTGATTCAAGATTCTAGAAGTCTGTAATTGGAGTTTCACATCTTTTTTCTTGTAAATTCTAATTTATTTACTCATTTGATTTTAAGATTGTCTTTTAGTTTGAATTCTTTTTGCTTGTAAATTATAACCTATTTATTCGCATTATGCTTTATAACAATATGCACTTTTAAAAAGGGTTTTGTTTCTAATTAGTGGTCAATTAAAAAATGTTTTCTAATGGTTTACTCCTATAAATTTCTTCCATTTGCTTTGTTCCCAAAATTTTGTGCCTACTTTTGTCATTTACTCTCCTTTTCTTTTCCTTTCTATCATCACACAACCTTGTTGAAGATTATGCAACTCGACCGAAGAATTCAAACTTTGATGAGCACAGGCTTTTAGATTTAACTTGCTAATGGGATAAGGATTTTCCCCTCAGTTGCAAATTTTTCATCATTTGCCTCTCTTGAATGTTATACCCATTGAAGGAAGTCTCCCTTTACAAGAAGATGTTTATAATATTTAGGACATGTATACTTATGATATGATAATGCTTGTGCTTTTTAACTTCCCAACTCATATTTTACTTTAACATATATTGTAGGAAGCATTGTGTACATAGCTATGGCTTTGATTTTCTAAAGGATGGCATCAGCAGGATTCCTGACTATTATTAGCCATGACCATGGTCATGGACTTTGAGACTAGTGCTAGTGATCAGGTCATTCAAAGAAGAAGGTATGAATCCACTCACATTTTTCATCTTAAACTTATGATTGATCTATGGAATGGTACAACCTTGGGTTACAGGGGATTTTTTTTAACTAGATTGGTCACATATTAATAAATAAAGGGAATCCAAGTTAGTCAAGAAAACAAGAGGCTGAGGAAGGGCAAATACTCTTGTTTAAAATGGTTTTTATTATGTTGTGCCAACAACCAAAGTGATTCTCGTATGATCTAATTAATAGAGTTGAGAAATTAAAGAATTTTGATGAATACACATGGCCAACTCACATAATACACATAGCAGTTAGACATGAAGCTAAGAATGATTTCTTTTTTTTTTTTTGGATACAAGGCCACGGCAAAGCCGTGCAAGAGAGACAAAAGTTAAGTCATGTCAAGAACCATTAGGTTTCTACAATTAGGAAGTGAATTATCAAGAATCATGATGCCTAAGTTGTCCGAAGATGGTTGACGGGCTAACAAATCAACACACATGTTGGCTTCTCTATACATATTGAAAGTGATTACCCGGTCCTTTATAGTTAGCTCTTTGATGTTCTTCATGATGTCAGAAAATGGATATCTTTTAGAGAATTCGTGCTCAATGAGAGATAATGCTTCTATAGAATCTGAATAGAAGCTGAAAATGATTGAAACTAATGAAGCTTAAGGCAAAATACAAGTCAAGTAAAAGAATGTGGGTTGAAATACACTTATGTCATGACATGAGTATAGTGTTAATGTTATTTTCATCTTAAACCATATAGTCTTGGGTTATACTTATCTATGTAACTTTATAAATATAAACAACTAAGGGTTAGTGTAAAACTTCTTGCAAATTGTTAGACTACGCAAATGAAAAGGTCTGACAAGTACTTGAACCCCTTGCTTTTTCAATTTGTTAAAAAGTTAGCTCAGTCTCTACCTCTTCCATGGCTTTCTATATGAAAATCAAATGGAAAATAAATAACAGATATTCGAATATCAATTAATCAAAAAATATGGGGGGTTAATGCAAAAAATACAAAAAGATATGGTTTTATCAAATTCCCCCCACACCAAACCTTTTCTTGTCGTCAACCAACTATACTAGAGTTAAAGTTTTTTCACTTAGTTCAATGATGGCTCTGTTTATCATATTCTCCATTCTTATCAACATGCCATTATAAATAAATTCAAGAATTATTCAATCAAGAAAAATTGTGGTTTTATTGTCACCCACTCATCATAGAGGAAGGGTTTCATATTTAAGAAATGATAGAAAAGAAGTTATCTCTATGATATTGAATGATTGGGTACTTATGATTCAGTTTTTTGAACTAGGTGATGAGAAGTATTAAATTATATTTTTTCTACTCTTAGAGGCTAATTGATGATTTTTCATATTCATCTTCAAGGTTATTGTGGAGATAGAAGCTGGACAAAAAACCACTACAGAGTGCTTTAGTTCCCTTCATCCCAAAAAGAACTACAGCGTTATCGAGGTCATGTTAAAAAGAATGAATATGGGAGATAATAGTCACTGAATATCATCTTGAGCCAAAGTTTCCACAGCCACAACGTTTATTTCATTCGTCGATGATGCTCTCTAGCCTCGGTTGCCAAAGTACAGAAAACAATCATCGCCTAAGAGAGCCTCCTGTGCCATTTGCTATCAAATCTTGTGTCCTTTTCTAGTTAGTGTATTGGTGTCACAAAATCCAGTTTCTTTCAGAAAATTATCTATTTGTTTCTTTTCCTTCTTTCTTTCTTTTTTCTTTTTAACAATCATCGAGTTTTTCTTTCATTTTGACTCCAGTAAACGAGTCAGGAAAGTAATTATCAACATGAAAACAATCACTCTTTCTGATTTGTGATCTCTCCCTTTTGTTTCTTGCATGTTTGTTGCTGCCATGTTTTTTGGGAATTTTATTCCTAAAGATGCAAGAAAAGATCATACCATTCAATGACACTAACGCTATCAGCATTGGAAACATTGATCAATAGTCACTTGAACACAAGCATGTAAGCATCAATATGATATGTGTACTGATTTCTTTATTTTCTATTTTGTTTAATTGAATTATTGTTTTTAAGTTTTCTATATATGTGGTTTGCTATGAACTGTTTTACATTTATTGAAGGTAATTTTTTGTTGTAGTTGAGGGTGATAGGCAACATTGGTGTTCCACCATTTTAATGAAAGTTAACTTCATTATGAATAGCCAAGAATTGGTGTTCACCATTTTAATTGATTGGCTATGATAGTTCTTTTTTATGTCTTTATAATCCACAACCTATGGACTTTAGTTTTTACTTTAAATAGTACTGAATTGATCAAAGTTCTGTCATTGAAATATTGTGTATTGCTATCGTTGAAGAAAAGCTTGGCATATCATGTATCTAAAAAAAAATAGTATTGTATTTTTGTTCTTTTTTCTTGGATATGGATACTACATCCTTGATATTTGCTTTATTTTTATTTCTCTGAACATGGAATTTATCAATGATGCTTATTATGCATTGTGATATCATCTTTCCCTAACTCAGATGATCTTGCTTTATAAAAAAAAAAAAGTACTATCATGATTTGAAACCAGACTGTTCTCAATACTCTATTTTCTTTGTTGATAGCTTCCTATCATGATATTGTGTTGTGTTGAACTATGTGATTCATTTTCAGGTCATGGGAAGCAAGAGTATAATATGCATTGTATTGGAATTCGTAACTGGTGGAGAGCTCTTTGACAAAATTGAGTAAACAAGTCTATGTTAGTCCCATTCATTTAATAGTTGTCTTTTGTTTTTTATTTTCTCAAGAGCACTTGTGAGGAAAAGAATAAAATAGGAACAAAATGAGTCATATTTGTGGCTTCTCAATCTTATGAAGTTTATGATACTATAGTGCTATCTTTCTTACTAAAAGAGTTTAACTTTTTCTTTTCTTTCTTTTCTTTTGTTTCTTTTGTTTTTTTTTTTAGTGGAAGAAGACTTTCACCTTGATATTGGATAACTAAGAGCTTGTTTGTTTTCTACTTTTAAAAACTATTCTTTCCATTTAAAAATATAAGGCATTTTTAACCTAATCCCTCCCGTAATAAAATAATTACCTACTTTTAAACTTACTCTCTCTTTCATATTTATTTCTATTAAATACCCTATAATAAATATAAAGTCATTCATTAATAGGGGTACTTTAAAAAAAAGGTAATGATTGCACATTAAAAGAGTAAAAATGCCTTATATTTTTGAACCAGAGGGAGTATTTTTAAAAAAATAGAAAAATAGAAAAATTTGTTTTGATAAGTTTTCTCATTTAGTTGTTTCCAAAACTGTTTTCATTTTTTTTGTTTTTAAAAACAAAAAAATATAAACAACTTTAAATTGTTTTCATTTTATTTTTCTTATTTTTAAAATACACTACGTTTGATTATTGAAAATTGTAGTTACCTTGACTAATTTTTATTATAAATCACTGTCATTAACTGCATATAATCAACATCATCGGTCCATTTTTTAATTCTAAAACTATTTTTAAATTACATAACCAAACAGATTTTTATTTTATTTTTGATTTAAAAATAATTTTGAAAACTATATCATAAAATAGTTTTTAAAAACAAAAAATGAGAACAGAAACCAAACAGGCCCTTAAATATTTATAAATTGTAAATTTACAAGTGAACATGTATGTGGGAGCAGCAAACCTAAAATCTCTCTCTTATTTCTACATTCTCGTTATCATTTCCTTTGCTTGATTGTTTTTAATAAACATGTTTAAAGAATACAAAATAGAACACTTATTGATTAAATAATATCCTCATATATATATATATATATATATAATTCTTAAGTTCATTATCTTTTAATGAGTCAAGATAATAAATCACAATGATGAATGGATTAATACAAACAAGCACCCTATATTGCTTGGAAATATAAAATATTGTATTAAATCAAATGTCAACTAGATTTAAAAATATATAACAACTTACCGTGGATTATAAAAATAACACGCTCTTCTTTCCTCTGGTCTTGAATACATCAATAATTTTTTGAGAATGATAATTAATGTTGTATGTGCTTGTGTTGTGTAGGCTAATGAATGAAAATTTTGTCATTAATGAGCCTGGCACCATAAATGTATATACAAATACCTAGAATGTAAGAACAGAAAAGATCACTATCAATAATAAATAAATACCATAACAAGTAATAAAGGTTAGAAAGTACCTAATATCTAAACTAATTATTATGATTTGTGGCCAATCCTCTATCAAATATCATTAATATTTTCTGCCCCTAATCTTTTAACAATCATTTGGCCATAAATCCCCTTATCTATTTCTGTTTCACGAATGTCACTATTTTTAAATGCTATTCGCATAACCACTCTAAGTGCATTTTGATTAGGACATTTTAGCTTAGCAGATTTTGTATTGGTCTTCCCTGCCTTAGTTACATTGATAGATCAACAACAACAACAACAAAAAGCCTTTATCCCACTAGGTGGGGTCAGCTATATGGATTGCGAGATGCCAATGTGCTCTATCATTTATCAAGCTTTTAGGAATATTATCAATTAAGAGATCACGTTCAACAACTTCCAAGAGTGTTCTCTTAGGCCTTCCTCTACCCCTCTTAATAGGGCTTAAAGTTATATGTTCTACTCTTCTCAATAGTGCCTCCCGCAGTCTTCTTTGTATATGTCCAAACCATTTCAAATGATTTTCTACCATTTTTTCCTTAATAAGTGCTACCCTCACTTTTTCACGTATGTGCTCATTTTAAATTTTATCTTTATGTGTATGTCCGCACATCCGTCATAACATTCTCATCTCTGCTACTCTGACTTTATACTCATGCTATCCCCTTAGAGCCCAGCATTCACTACTATATAACATAGTCGGTCTAATAGCAGTATGATAAAACTTTCCTTTAAGTTTATTAGGCACCTTACAGTCACAAATAACTCCTTTAGCTTTTCTCCAATTAAACCACCCAGCTTGAATCTTATGTAAAATATCCCCACTGATTTCGCTATCATTTTGAATAATGGCTCCTAAATATCTAAACTTTTTCACTTAAGGTATCATTTGATTTCTCAATTTCACTTCCAAATTACTATCGACTAGTCTCTTAACAAATTTACAATATAAATATTCCATTTTACTCCTACTCAGATAAAAACCTTTCGACTCTAATGTCCTCCTCCATAACTCAAGTTTACAATTAACCTCTTCTCTTGTCTCTGCTATTAGAACTATATCATCCGTAAAGAGCATACAATTGAAAATTTCCCCTTGAACAGATAAGGACTCAAAGATGATCCCTAATGTAATCCAATCTTTATAGAAAAGTCCTTTGTTTGACCACTAGACGTTCTTATACTAGTTTTTACCCCCTCATACATATCTTATATGACTTTAATATAAGCAATCCATACCCCCTTCTTTTCCAAGGCTTTCCAAAGCACTTCTCTTAATATAAGGTCATAAGCTTTATCCAAATCAATAAAAACCATGTGTAAATCTTTATCTTTATAATGATACTTTTTTATTAATCCTCTAAGTAGATAAATCACCTATATAGTCGATCTACCTAGCATAAAATCTAACTGATTCTCAAAAATACTTGTCTCTAATCTTAACCTGTGCTCAATTACTTTCTCCCATAATTTCATTGTGTGGCTCATGTGTTTAATCCCCCTATAGTTAGTACAACTTTGAATATCCTTTTTATTTTTATAGATAGGAATTAATGTACTTCTCCTCCACTTGTCAGGCATTTTCTTAGACCGTAAAATCATATTAAATAACTTAGTTAACTATCTCACCCCTTCTTTACCTAAAAATTTCCATACTTCAATAGATATACAATCAGGTCTGTTGGCTCTACCATTTGCCATTTTCTTAAAAGCTTCCTTTACCTCCTTATCATGTATTATTTGATAAAATGACAAATTTTGTTCTCTTTCACGGGTTACTAAATCCTCCAAGTTACTAGATGAACCCTCTCCATCATTGAAAAGTTTGGAAAAGTAAGTCTCCCATCTATTTTTAATTTCATCATCTGTAACTAAAATTATTCCCTCTTCATCCTTTATATATCTTATCTGTTCTAGATCTCTTAATTTTTTTTTCTATTCTTAGCAATCTTATAAATGTTTCGTTCTCCTTCCTTTATCTCAAGCTTCTTATAAAATTCTTTAAAAATTTTAGAACAAGCTTCACTCACAGCTCTCTTAGTTTCCTTCTTAGCCATATAATACCTCTCATAATTTTCCTGATTGTTACACAAATGTATGGCTTTGAAATAGTTCTTCTTATGTTTAATTTTATCTTGTATACTATTATTCTACCACCAAGACTCTTTATCTCTCAACCAAAACCTTTTGATTCCCCCAAACTACTTTTGCAACCTCCCTTATCTTTTTAGCCATATCCTCCCACATGATGTTAGCACTTCCATAAAATTACCAAATTCCTTTGTCTAAAAGATTCTGCTTGAAAATATCTTGCTTCTCACCTTTTAATTACCACCACCTAATCCTTGGTGCTATTACTTGTCAACGTTTTTTGAATTTTACTCATAATACACACATCAAGGACAAAGACCCTATGTTATGTCGTTACAGCATCCCCAGGAATCACGTTGTAATTTTTACAGAGTCTTCTATCTGTGTTCCTAACTAAAAGAAAATCAATCTATAATCTTGAGGCTTCACTTTTATAAGTGATGAGATGCTTATCTCTCTTCTTGAAATAAGTGTTGGCAATTTTAAAATCATACGCCAACGAGAAATTAAGGAGAGTTTGTCTTTCACTGTTTAGCTCTCTAAAACTAAAACCACTATGCACCCTCGCATACTGACCAGCCTTCCTTTTGACATGCCCATTAAAGTTTTCTCTAATAAAAATCTTTTTACTCTGTGGTATGTGTTGAATCAACCCCTCTAGGTCCTCCCAAAATAATTCTTTAAGACTAGCTTCTATCCCAACTTGAGGTACATAAGCACTAACAATATTAACAGTCTTATGTCTAACTATCATTTTTAAGGAAATAATTCTGTCTCCAATTCTGCTAACTTCTACAACATTCTTCTTCCACTCCTTATCAATAATGATGCTTACTCCATTGCGTGCCCTTACTTTTCCTGTATACCAAAGTTTAAAACCTTGAATATCCTTAGCTTCTTTTCCATACCTTTTTGTTTCTTACAGGCATAGGATATTGATTTTCTTTTAAATCATAACTCCTACAATCTCTACAGATTTACAATTCAATATTCCAACATTTTGAATACTAAATCTAATCTTACTTTCATGGACTAACCTCTTTAGCCACACATGTCCAGAATGGCACAATAGCCCTTGCTAATTTAACACTACATCCGAGTGCCGATGCAACAACTCTAACTCACTTATCACTGTACTCAAGCCATGCAGTGTGTTACTTACGGGAAATAATCTAGTATTAACATTATAACGACTATTGTTCATATTCATGATAGATTCAATAAAGTTTTGTGTTGGCTGTTGATGGCCTAACACAACCCTCCTCCTTTACCCAGGCTTGGGACTAGCTATAAATATAGGCGGAGTTGGTTACATTGATAGATCTTTTTGATAATTTTCCTTTTGATTTGATTGGCTTCTATACTATTCCTTTAGATTTTAAGGTTTGTAAAACATAAAATTAATTAGTAAGGTCAAAATTAAACATGAATGATTTTAATGAACAGTCAATTTTCTTACTTGTAACTTAATAAGTTTTGTTGGTCAAGCCACATAAGTGCTAACAATATCAAAAACCA